AAAAAATACAGATAGTAAACTTCCTCTAGTGCAGACTTTGATGTGAGGTATTTCTTGCAGCACGTATTACAACCTGGAGTAGAATTGCCATTTGCTTTTCCTGTGCTTAACATCTGACAACATGAACTACTATCAGACAGACATCTGAAACACTGCAGAAGAAGATGAAAAAGAGGCAAAAAAGGTTAAGATCAGTGTGACAGGAAGTGTACTTTTAAGTCTGTTCTGTGTTAACCAATCAGATGCTTCAACCAATCAGATGGTCTAACAAACAAGCACATGTCACCTCTTAAACCTACTGAAATGCCTCAACAAGGACCAGTGTCAAGATGGTCATATTATGGATGGTATTGGTTTTTCTCCATGAAGGCTGTAAGGGCGTTTTTATTTTTTACTCTGATCACATGTTTGAAATATAATTATTTATGTTGAATAGATACATTGGAAATTTTCCCCTCATGATTTTTTTTCTATGTTTTGTTTTCACTCAGATTCTCTGGTTCCAGTGAAAACCGCTCATCTTGGTGAAGCAGCAACTTTAACATGTGCTAGAACTACTACAGAGCTCAGCAGTCGAGTCCAGTGGTACAAGCAGAGTGTCGGAGATACTCTTAAACTAGTTGTTACATTTTATGGAACTACACAACCTGTTTACACTCCAGAGTTTCCTGAATCAAGATTTGAGGCAAAAATTGACAAACATTTTGTCAACCTGACTATTGTGAAGACAGCCCAAGAGGATGAGGGCTACTATCACTGTGAGCAAGGCAGTCGTGTTAGTAGTGAATGGAGCGGGATGTATTTGTTAGTAAAAGGTATGCAGCTGCTCTACTTTTACAAACATTTTGAACTTCTCTGAGCATCTTTTGAAGAATGTCTTTGTGTTTTGTATCACACAGGAAACACTCAGAGGTCATCAAACTACATCGTTGTCCAAAAGCAGATGGAATCAAATCCAGTCTATTCAGGAGACACAGCGACTCTCGAGTGTTCAGTCTTCTCTGATTCTGAGAACAAGATGTGTCCAGGAGATCAAAATGTTTTCTGGTTCAGAGCAGGATCTCATCCAAACATCATCTACACTGACAGGAAAAGACATGAATATGAGAACAGATCTGATCCTCAGAAAAGATGTGTTTATCGCTCTTCTAAGAACGTCAGCTCCTCTGATGCTGGGACTCACTACTGCGCTGTGGCCACATGTGGGGAGATAATATCTGGAAATGGAACTAAACTTAATATTCAAGGTACCTGTACCTGATTTTGTCTCCCGTACTGGAAGTTATACTCAAAACATGTTTTTAAGAACTGATTTTTTTGTTTGTTTTATAGAGCAAACAACACAACAGGTATTTATTCAAATGACAATATTAATAGCCTGTTTGGCCGTTTCTGTTATTGGAAACGTTTTCTTCATCTGCAACCGAAGGATATGTAAGAAATGTAAAGGTAAGCGTTAACACTGGTTTAACATTTATGCATTTTAAAAACATGAAACCAATTCAACTTTAAAATCATAAGAAAAAATTATTGAACCGACTGATGATAAATTTTTTTATGGATTATGCTCCAGAGTGGGTATCTTTGTGAAACTTCAGTAACTGCAGTAAATTGAGAAGGCAATGTCTCATTAAGTGTATTTCACTATCATATATTTATCATGATAATATTTTTTTTATGTCAGGAATAGGAAATGCTGTATTGAAAGTACAAACTGACAACTTA